CTCGAAAATATAGTAAAGCTCTCTTCCAATGTTCGCTTCATTCCAATGTGCGTCGATTGCATCTTCCAAAGGTAGGTAGTTCAAAAGTTAGTCGTTTCAGCTCCCTAGGTGAGTTAATGTGAGTCTTTGTTCAATGTAAGTTGGTTCACCTTCAACCGACTCCATCTACTATAAAAACCCCTCTTCTGTACTGATTCGGATATCAGAGAGAAATAGCAGAATACATTTACAAAATCTTTTCTCTCGTTCAACTAAGTTCTCTTCTGTCTTTTCTATCATATGTTTTACAGTATTTACTGTTACTATCATCCGCAAACCATCAGAGTGATTTTAGAAGCATTATGATATACCAAAACATGCATGGAAGCAAAGCCACATCTCCTTGGATTTATATGCAACTTATCTCCTAGAATAATACCCACATAATGACATACTGTGCAAAAAATTTCATTGTAATTTGTCTTTGCTACAAAGTATGATGGAGATAAACTAAGCTAGCATTTATGACTCAATTACTAAAAGGTTTCAATACATAATACTGATGACTAACCATGAAACACATTATGAATGAGCAAACACAAAACTTGTACATAACAATTTTCTGAAATGAGTTTAAAGAAAAGTACAGTAGGACAAGTAAAATGCATAGTAGAGATCTATTAATACAAGTGTTTTACAATGGAAGGCATGATTTTAAATAGAGCATTTTTGTATCAGGTAATATGTTCATTTAATACCTACGACATAGTTGCCTGCTAATTGGAAGCAAAATGTGTATGATGTTGACCTGTTTGCCCCAAAACCATGTACTAAAACCAATGCAGGCCCATCATTCCCACAATACTGATAGCAAATAGAATATCCCCGCCAATTCCACATGCTGCAATTGCATGGAGCACAAAAGAAATTCAGAGAGAAGTCATTAATTTATACTATCATAAGAAGCACTCCAACCAAACATTCCAGGAAACAGTACATGACCTCGTCCTCAATTATAAATAAGTAAATATCACTTAGGGTCCATTTGCTAGCAGCTGAATTGGCTGAATTGAATGGCTATTCGATTTGTATTTTGGTGAATGTTATAAAGTAGGTTGTGAGCTCCTTAATGGCTGAAACTGAAATGGGGTTGATTACTATAAACTTGAATTCACTAAAAGACAAAGCACTGTCATTCAGTTCAGCCACTTGCAACTGTAACCAAATGGTCCCTAATATCAAAATTGCAGGATATATGTATATTGGATGGCTTGAAATTGTCAAGTTTACCAAGTTGTAAATTTATTTTTCAGCTTTTATGGTAGTGTCATATGAATGCAAATACAATGGAAAATGATTAAATTGTGTCAGAATGTACCCATACAATTTCTGAAGGCAGTTCTCTGATAGTTAAGATGCCACTTCACAGTTGCAACCAAGGGCATATCGGCCTTATCGGTACTTATTTTAGGTTTTATTTATTTTTTTTTTTTTTGAAACTGGTTCAGAGGGATCAGTTTAAGGCCCGGCTACCCTCTGAACCAGTGTCTGACCCGATTCAACCCCTGGAGGGGCGTATCGGGAAGCAGTCAGCATGATGCGTATCGATACAAGTTTCTCTCAGAATATTGGTAAACGGTGACTTACATCAGTATATTTCATTACCCCCCCCCCCCATAGAGCTACAACTCTCAAGTTAGGAGGTTGTTATCATTTAATTTCTAAGTAGCAGAGAGAGATGAGGCTTTTATCTGCATTTTCCACAATTGATATCGTAATTTCTCTTTACAAGTTGCAATACAATCATCTTATTAACATAAAGCTATTCATGTTCTCCATTTCACAGTTCTACTCGAACAGATTAGTAACTTAACAATTGAAATTGACGATTACAAATCTGATTTTCAGTATGCCAGGTCCATTATTCTTCTACCGTTCTCCTTAAAATAATTCTATCAGAATATAATGCAAATAGGTATAACTGTATACACAATCAAGCAGTAATTTTTAACCAAATAAGTTATAATTACTAAAAAACGCAATTACTCTGTATAATAAAGTGGGGAAAGGGGGTAAAACCGTAAAAGGATTAAAAGAAAAGGCAAAAACTGAATTCGATAACAAGAAAAACCAAAAGTGCAAAGGAAATCGAATATTCTAATGCATGGAACCGCTATAAACGAGTAAGTAAAAAAGCACCTTCTCCGAACTTCAAGTTTGGGAATTTCCGTCGTCGACCTTGGATTTGAGAGASTTGTATCTTCAGCTGGGTCGACCAGAGAAGCATTCAAAGAAGAAAATAATCGATACCCATTTGATTCAGATGGAGAAAATTTATAAATTCTGGGAAGAATCATGGTCTGAGGAAATTGGGTTCTGCTGAATGTGATCGAAGAGGCCACATTCTTTCTTCCTCGTGAAATCGAAATAGGAAAATCGAATCTTGACAAGGTAAAGGAGGGATAACTAGTACTTGTCATCTCCCTAATGGCACTAGCAGAAAGAGGGACAGAAGCACCAGAGATAGGAAGAACGATGAGGGAACTCGGACCAATGGTGCCAAATGCAACTCTTCGTGATTGAGAGCTCGAACAGGAGTTGAGAGCAGTTTGGAGTTCATGACTAAGAAGCAGTTTACGTGGCTCACGTGGAGCCGTGCCTCGAATGAAAACGTCCTCTCGATTTTTATTCCTCTTATTTTGGAGTCCTAATCTGCTGTCTACACACATTGCTTCCATCATCATCCACAGCCGCACATCTCAAACATTGTTTCATGCTTATGCTTAGATGCTGATTGATGAAGGTAGATCTGGCAATCTTGATTGAAATGTGCGATTACAAATTTGGGCCTAGATTTTGGCCCGCATCATGTCTGAAAATTTCCAGGATGGGCTTGGTTGTTTTTAGCCCATGGTCCACTCGAATATATTACTATTTAATTATTTTATGCATTTAAAAATAGAATAATACCTATAAAGTCATTCAGTTCAGTCAATATATCCGTTGTCAAAGAGCCCCTTAGTGGCGGGAATCAGCTAAATAAACCAAGGGTGCAAATGAGTATCCAAACCCTAGCCGACCTTGAATCAGGCTTGGTTGTTTTTAGTCCACGGCCAGACTTGGTACTAATTTCGAAGTCCATTTTAAAATGATAGGCCTAATTGGCCAATAACGTATCAATGGGTTTTTTATGATAATAATGATAACAAATAATATATTTTTAATTTTTTTACAGTTTTTTATATTTTTATGATTATTAAAATTATTCTTATTTGTCACATTTATTTTTGTTTAATATGATGAATATATGTATTAGAGAAGTGCCCGAATGTTTTTTACCTTTTTTATACTTTTTATACTTTTATGTATTTTCATCTTTTTTAATTAATATTATTTAACTATAAAATCAAGGCTTGGCACATTTTGACCCAAAAGGTTGAATTATTGACTCACCACTGGATTTTTTGGTTGGTTTTAAATTTATATTTTATTTGTATCACCAATAAAAACAATTATTCTTTGTCACACTTGTTTTTCTTTAATATGGTTAATTAATATAGGATTCAACAAATAAATGATAGTTAATATACTAAATATAAGACTTGATGAGAGGGAATTGAGTGAGGATAGTTCAAATTGCATTTTTGTGACCACCAAATTAAAAAATATAGGTATTCTAGTCAAAAATAGGTTTCAATAAATGTTAATGGAGTTAATACCTTAAATATAAGACAATTATTGGGATTTGAATTAGTTTCTTTTGGTAATAGATTGGGATTTGAATGAGAAATATGGTTGTTCAAATTACACTTTTGTCCTTACAATTAGAAAATAACCAAATTCAAAAAAAAAATGGGGGTATTTTAGTTAAACAAAAGTTCCACACTTTCATTCACACTTTTGGTAATAGATTTTTCATGATTGTTATATTTTTGTGGGTAAATTACTGAAGCCTCCCCTGAAGTTTCTAATCATTGTTGAAACCTCCCCTGAAGTTTGGTAAGTGCAATCACCTCCCTTGAACTTTCCAACACAATTGCAAGGAGAACCCCCTTTGTAGGAATCCTTTAACAATAGATATGAAAATCCCAAAATATCCATGTTGTTACTTTTGACTAAAATGTTTATTTTCCAAATTCTCTTCAAATCAATTGCTACCCCAAACCCTTCCAATCTCTTTTCCCAAATTGCCCTTCATATCAATTAGCTCAAACATAAGTCTACAACTTTAAACTCTCTTTTTTTGTTGTTGTTTATAAAGGTGTTTTTTTTGTAGAAACCAACCTTAATAACTGCAAGGGTCTATTTGCAATTGTGTCAAAAAGTTCAAGGGAAATGATTGCAATTAGCAAACTTTAGGGGAGATTTCAGCAGCAAGTAACAAGTAAGATATTAATTACCAAGAACAATATTATGACATTAATACTTTACTTGTTTGTCAGTTCTATTTACAATTTTCAAGCCTTAGATTGTCAATCAAATTGAGGTTCATCAGTTGGTTGGTAAGGTCTCCTGCTGTGGTAGCGAAGACTTGAGATCGAATCCTGCATACACCTGGGTTGGGTGGGATTATAGGGGGATGGGCTACCTTGTATAGCCCCTTCAAAAGAAATAATCTATACTACTTTAAAAAGTACAAACGGCCCCAAGAATATTTTTGGAATTTTCTAAGGACAATACTTACCCCTTTATATTTAAATTTAATGATAAAAAAATGAGGGAAAATAGGGTAATTGGTTCTTGATATTAAATGAGTTGAAAAGAGGTAATTTAAAGATATTCAATGCATTCAATCATCTCTCATTAAATCCAAAATTTAAGTTATTAACTTGCATTCATGTTCATTGAATCATATATTTAAGTCATTTTCATTTCTTCTTATCATTAAGTTCTATTAATTAAATCCATACTTAATAAATTAATAATTCCAACAACATAAAAGCTTATACCTTTAAAATCTACCTAGCAAAAATAGTATTTTCATCTAAGTGATGGTAAGAAATTAAATAATTTTGGGTCAAATGGGTTAATCCAAGCTGCCATAGTTAAATAATAAAATGAAAAAAATAGAAATTAACAAAATTGGGAACATTTTTAACATACATATTAAACAATAATAAGTATGTTAAATAAGAAATATTTTTATTACTGACAAAAATGGAATGTAAAATTTAAAACCAATTGGAAATAAAAATATTGTCCTATTCTCTCTCATTAAATCCTATATTTAAAATATATTTTTCTCATCATTAAATTATTGTAATTAAATCTACAATATTAATTTTAATAGTATAAAAATAAATAATTTGAAAACAAAACCATTTTCTTCCCTTCCGGTGGTGGGCAAGCAATTTGACCATTTGGGGTCAAATGGATTAATAAATAATGTCATAATTATATAATAAAAAATTAAAATAAATAAATATGAAATGTAAGAAGTATTTTTATTAATGATGAAAATCGAAAGCCAATTTCAAAATCTACCTATAAATTAAATGATGTCATAGTCAAATAATAAAATTTTTAATAATAGAAAATATAAAGAATCACAAAAAAAAAGAAAGATAAGAGAAAATTTTGGGTACATATCTAATGTTATATATTTATAAAAAATAAAAATATTGGGTACATCTCTAATATTGTACATTCATTATATTGAACAAAAATAAGTTTTATACATAAGAAATAATTTTATCAATGATGAAAATGTAATACAAAATTTAATGTCAACCTAGAAATCAAACAATTTTTATTTTTAGATGGTGGGTTAGTGGTTTGAGTAAAATGGTACCATAGACAAACAAAATTTAAGTGTGATAAGTAAAAAAAATATTTTATATAATCTAAATGAAATATATAATTTAAAGGGAAAATTATAGTCAAAGTCGGTTGTACATTTAAAACTAGGTTGAAGGTTGGTTCAGAAACCAACCAAACTCTGAAAACCGACTCTACATTTCAAATTATAAAAACCCCCGCCATGTCATCAGATGCTTGTGTGGTTGTTGCCAACATGGGACTCTTATTCCATGTTGGACACAACAGAAAACCTATATCGAAAATAGGTTTTCAATTTCTCTTCCACTCCCTCTGTCTCTTGAACTCCCTCCCTTCTCTCTCACGCTTATAGTCATCTCTTGATCTCCCGCTCCCTCTATCTCTCTCATTCTCTCTGCTTCGATCTGTAGCCAAATCAAAACCTCTCTCTCTCTCTATTGTTCTCCCTCAATCTTTCTCATTCTTCACCCTAACTCTCCCTCTCGGTCAAAATCTCATTCTCCCTCAATCTCTATCATTCTCCAATTGGTGTAGATTTCATATCCAAGAGTATTTTGTGAATTTTATCAAATTGGTGTAATAATTTTTTAACCATACCAAATTGATATCATGTTCTTTTATACGGTCTAATTAACACCATATAAGTGTTTAAGAAAATAAGAAAAAAAAATGAGAGAGGGAGAGGGTGACAAACTGAGGGATAACGATAGAAATTAAGGGAGAATGAGAGATTGACCTAGAAAGAGAATGAGAGAGATTGAAGGAGAACGATAGGTAGAGAGAGAGAGAGAATGAGAGAAATTGATATAGAGAACGTAAATACAGAAACCAAAACCCATTTTTATTTATTTTCAAATCACATAGTCATTGAGCAGATAAAGATGACTATGAGTGAAAGTGTGAGGGAGATTGAGAGAGAAAGAAACTAAAAACCCTTTTTTATTTTCCCATCACCCAACATTAAAGGTTAATTTCAGTATAAAATTTTTATTATGTCCAATATGGATTAAGAGTCCCATTAACACCCATGTTGGCAATAGCCACATAAGCCTCCTATGACATGGCGAGGGATTTTATAACTTGAAATGTAGAGCCGTTTGTTAAAGTTTTGTTGGTTTATGGACCAACTTGTAACCAAATTTTAAAAGTACAGTCGGCTCCGACTATAATTTCCCCTAATTTAAAACTAATCCAAAAGCAATGCTATTTCTTATCTAGATGTTGGGTCAATGATCCAACTTTTCAAAAAAAAATGCATGATGTCATAATTGAATAATAAATATTTAATTTATTTTTAATCATATTGTTATTTTTTTTAATTTTCAATTTCTATCTTAACTATGATATATCTAAAATTCAAATAATTAATACGAAGAGAAATTTCTCAAGTGCAATGCATGTGCTTAATTACTAGTAAAAAAAAGACAACAACAAAAAAGAGGCTCATCGTCCCTGACTCTAGCAATCAGGCCTTAGATTTACAAGACCATCTTAGCTTTTTGGTATTAATACTTGGGCAACTCGAACGAGCCTCTCTTTACAAGACCAGGCTCATCCCTGGAATTAATACCTTACTTGTTTGTCAATTTGGTATTAATACCTTGAGATCAAGCAAACCCAACATGTAGTTTAATTCCCCAAAAGCCCACTTGGTCTTGTTTGACCACTAGCAAGTTTCTCTCACAATATTGGTAAAGGATGACATGTATCTGTATATTTCATTTTCTCCATTTCAGAATATTGGTAAAGGATCACAATTTTATCTGCTATTCCTTTTCTCCATTTCAGAGTTCTAATCGAACAAAAATAAAAAGAATTTTATCATCTTCAATCTAGGCCCCGTTTGGCGTGTTTTTTCACGCGGTCTATCAGCTATTTACAAGTCCAGCAAACCACAATTTGATTTTTTCTCGTTTGGTTTGCAGTAGAACTATTCGTCAAAAGTCGACACACCAAAAAGATACGAGAAGCCCAAAACGAGTGATTTTCGGGAAGCTCTAAATGGAGCTTTTGTGTTTTTTTTCCTATTCGTCTTTGCGAGGAAAGACATGCCTTAACCAAATGGGCTTCAGGCTGCTCAAATCTTAATGCAAAAGCTCAATGTGTCTTTTGATTGTCATAGCTACTAGAAAATCTTCAAAAAAAGACTTGCCAAACGGCCCCTAATTAGTTTTAATGCCATTTTATTTGAGCTAAACTAAAGATCTACATCAATTTGAAATGTCCAAATAATATAATGTATGAAAAAGGGCAATTTGGTCTCTAAAAAGTTTGAGGACATAATACAACCGACAAGGTCATCATGATGCAACAACAAGGGAAGGTGGAGAGTAATTTTAGAAAACTGGGGTGGGCATTTGCTAATTGGAAAGCCCATGTAAGGAAATTTGTAAGGGCCCATTTATTTGGGAGGGGTGAGCGGAAGAGTTATTAAAATGATTTATAGATGCTTAGATAAGTCTGTTTGGGTTCTTCATTTTTCTTTTTCACTAAACATAGGCCCCGTTTGGTGCATCATTTTATGCGGATTGATAGCTATTTAGAAGCCCGGCAACTAGGGGTGAGCATTCGGTTTATTCGGTTAAAAACCAAACCGAATAAACCAAAATTTTAAAAACTGAACTAAAAAAATAAAAACCAAAATCGAAATTTAGAAAAATCGAAATAACTAAAACCGAAATTTTCGGTTTGGTTTTTGGTTATTTCGATTAAAACCAAATTTTAATAATATACTTTATTATATATATATTATAATATATATTATATATTAATATATAAATATATAATATATTATATATTATATATTACATATTACATATTATATATTATAATAAAAAGTTTGGTTAATTTGGTTAACTGAAATTCTAATTCCAAAAACCGAAACCGAAATAGCCGAACCAATTTAACCAAAAACCAAAAAAACCAAAATCGAAATTTTTGGTTTGGTTATTCGGTTTTAACCGAATTATGCTCACCCCAATCGATAGCTTAAGTTTTGGTCTTTTCCCGTTTGGTTGGAAAAATATCTAGCCACTAAAAGATGTCGCTCCGAAAAGACATGTGAAACCAGTTTTGGGCTATTTTTGATAAACTCCAAATAGAGCTTTTCAACTTTTTTCATCGCATCTTCGCGTAGAAAGATGCATGGAAAGATGTGCCTTAATCAATCAATCTTCAAACTACTAAGATTTTAATGCAAAACCTCACATCGTCTTTTGACTATTTGATTTGCTGTAAGATCTTTCAAAAAAAGACTTGCCAAATGACACCATAGTTTATAGGCTATGTATGCAATGCATGGCCCACCTCAAAAAGCTAGAGGCCACTATGCTTCATGCCGTTGGCCCTCTCAAATGGGCCCTAAAAGAAAATAAGAGCCCTTGGAGGGCTGAAACATTGGTTGGCCATGAAAGAGTTTCCATCATAACATGTGTGGCTTATGAGTATGGATATGTTGACCATAATACATATCTGGCCACATTCATCTAGTTGCACATTGGGAATATTGATGAGATAAAGAATAAGAGATATTCTCAATGTGTGGTTGGATGATTGTGGTTAGCATATCCAAACTCATCGCTTACTAGTTGTTCGGATTGGGCCCACCTCACAAACCAAGAAGCCAAAAGCCATTGTAAAAAAAAAGAAGAAGAAGAATAAGCTTGGATTTAGTCCTCACAAAACCGCACTCACAATCACAACCACTTGAGCTGGTCATTGGGAATATCTTCCCATGAATAAAAACATGTAAGGGGATATTCCCAATGCCCGATTGAATACGGTGTGAACACGACCTTTGTGGGGAGTGAATTGGAGATCTCTTGTAAAAAAAAAACTCCCAAAGCGGCACTAAACAACAACATGATTTCCTTTTGAGGATCATTTACTAAAACACCCCCTGTAATTTAATGAATTTACTAAAACCAATATCTTATAGTTTGTGTTTACTAAAATGTCCCCTATAGTTTGCAATCAATTTACTTAACGACCTTCCATTAGATGAAAGTAAAAAAAAAAATGATAGTTTTAACCCTAACATCCATTCAAATAAATTTAATCAAAAGAAGCTAAAAACAAAAAAAATCATTTTTTTCCTAATAAAACACAAATAATCACTCTATTTTCTTTATTTTGTCAATATTATTTTCTATATAAAAAAGTGTTTTGGAATAAACAACCATAGATCCTTACCCTTGAATATTTCCTCCCTTTTGGAATAAACAACAATGGGTTCATGTCCTTGAACATTTTCCACTTAGTTTAGGTGATCATATTACTATTTTAGCAAAACAAATAGTTCTAAGGTGATTAAGTAAATAGATTACAAAACCATATAATGTGTTTTAGTAAAATATAAACTATGTCATAGAGGGTGTTCTAGTAAATAACGCTTTTTTTCGAACGTGATTTATCATTTATGTAACGATTGTTGTCATAGTCCTTGTAGGATCAGTCCACGACGCTCAGCCCATCACGGGTCACGGCCCGACCACAGTCCCTAACTACCATTTGTATGACTCGAATTTAGGGTTTCGGTAAAAATATTTCTTATACGCCATGATCTATTGTAACCCACAATATGTGATGATATTACCCTTCAGATTGGAATTGTTTGAGAAAGCATCGAAAGATCAGTTGATGTACGCTGCCCAAACTTCTGGCGCTATCTATTTATATAGGTAATGATGTATGAGGTTGTCTCGTATGGGATAGATTTATATATTTTGTCGAGCCTTGTTTTGCCTCGTTGTGATGTGTGAGTGAACGCTCTAGGGTTTTAGAGAAGTAAAGAGAAGCTCCGTTCCGCAGCCATGGCGATCGTCGCTCAACCAGAGGTGAAGCTTTTCAACAGATGGTCTTTCGACGATGTCCAGGTTTGTTCCTCTAGAAACCCCAGCCTCTTCCTCCCCATTCTTTTACTCCTATAGAGCGCTGTATGGGATTTCTACAATGCCCACTGTTCTCTGGATTTCTCTACTTGAATGTCGTCTACTTTTCCTTTACTGGAACCATTGATCTGTGTCTTGTGTACGATCTATTCTTTTAATTTCCTGAAGCGATTTGTTTTCCTAGGGTTCTGTTTGCTTCCAAGCAAAAAGGCCTGTAGACAAAATTTTCTCTGTAAAGGAGGCAAAAAAATAAATCTACAAACTGGTATGAAAAATTCTAATCCTTGTGATATCTAAGTAAAAGGAACCTAAATAAAAGCAGTTTGCGGCACGTTTTATGTCTAAACTTTCCTGTTATTCAATTATTTTTTCTTGTCTTCTACACGCCTCTCTCTCAACATTGGATATTTGAGAGCTGCGGCTGTATTTTTGCCATTATTTTCCTTTCTTCTATAGTCGTAAGGCTTAGAATCCTAGACGCTCCTGAGTCTAAAGTTGCTTAGAAGTTAAGAAGTTGTCTGATTATCTATACGGTGTATTGTGCCGTCTGTTTGCAACTAATAAAAGTGATTTGCATTGGATACCCTTCTTACTTGCACATTGTGCTTGTGATGTTGTGTAGAGTAAGGCTAGACTAGATGGGGATTGTTAACATGTTAATGCGATAATTCTACGTTGCTTTAGTTACGGTAGGAGGTTGCTAAAGATGTCTCTAACAGTAGATTATGAAGTGGAAGAATTTAGAAAAAGAGCATAATGATTAATAGGCCCGTGTAAGTCCCGTATCAGTTATGGAAGCAAATCCTATAATTATGAAGCCCACATGAGATACCGAAGAATAAGCTATTCTCTTTTTTAATTTGCATTGAGCGGTAGATGTTAAAGCTGCATAGGTTATTTGAATTGTGCCTACTATCATCAACCAGGGAGAAAATATAGAACAAGCGTGGGGTAAAAATTCCATATAGATCCGAACCAATCCATACGCTCCCATTTTTAATAAGATTCCGGCTAGAAGCATACATGTACTGTAATGTGCTTCTCCGTTGTCAAGCTTTGTAGATTTGATCAACTTAATGAAACCGAGCATGTCTTGAACTAGAGGTAGCTTTTATATTGGTACTTGTGATACCTATCAAAAAAACATTTGTACTTGTGTTGAAGCATCAACTCGTCCTTACTTGAAACCTGTGTTCTATGTAAGCAGTCAGATGTTATGTAGATGATTTGTTTTCAATCCTAAATGATGTTTGATTGGGGATATTGCATTGGTGTTTTAAACTTTTAGTGCTTATCTGGATTATTCTTTTCTTTTTCCTTGTCTTTACAAGACCTAGCCCAAGTTTTTGATACCAGGTAAACAACAGTTGAGAGATTTTAGAATAAAAATGGTAAATACAAAGAAGCAGATAGTGTTGGCATATGACCTATGACAATTTTTTATCTTAAGAATGTATACCAGGTTATTTTTGGATCTGTTGGCACTTCAACCTTCACTGTTATGAGTTGAAATTATACTTGAAATGCACACTACTGTTTGTATTTGAATCTTATTTGGTGAGAAATGCATGTTTTCATCCATGTCAGCATCATATCAGCAGACATCAGCCAGGATATTCAGATGTTTGCTTCCCAAAACAAGAAACATCAAATTGGTATGCCTTGAAGCACCGCTGGTTTGTGTTTCAGGTAGAAAACTTTGTATGACTGTTTTAACTCAAAACAGTCTCAACCAAACAGAAAATTGACCATTAAACTCAAAATCTCTTGGTGGTGCTGATGTGGCAATGTTTCCAAGTAAAAGCAAGCCAAGGAACGAAACATCCCCACAGTTGGTCATGCATAAAATTGGTATAGATTCTGGGCATTCCTAATGTCTGATGTGGAAAATATAGTGATAACTAGGATGGAAAATTATAATCAACAACCACAATCATCAGAATTATTTGTCAAAACAATTTCCACAATCATTGCCTTGATGCTTTGTGCAGGTTGGTGACATATCTTTGGTGGATTACATTGGTGTGGTTCCATCCAAGCATGCAACCTACGTACCACACACGGCTGGGAGGTACTCTGTCAAGAGATTCAGGAAGGCTCAGTGCCCCATTGTGGAGAGGTTGACCAATTCCCTGATGATGCATGGAAGGAACAATGGTAAGAAACTTATGGCTGTCCGAATTGTGAAGCACGCCATGGAAATTATCCATCTTCTCACAGACCAAAATCCTATTCAAGTTATTGTTGATGCTGTGATAAACAGGTACACAAACAGTAAATATTCTCTTAGCTTCTATTCAATCTTGTAATTTTTTTCCCATCTAATTTGTTTTGGTTACTAATGGTGTAGTGGGCCAAGAGAAGATGCAACTCGAATCGGTTCTGCTGGTGTAGTGAGGCGTCAAGCCGTTGATATTTCTCCCTTGAGACGTGTTAACCAAGCAATTTATCTTCTTACAACTGGTGCCCGAGAAAGTGCCTTCAGGAATATCAAGACCATAGCAGAGTGCTTGGCAGATGAGCTCATTAATGCTGCCAAGGGATCATCCAACAGGTGAACTTTGTAGTTATACTTGTTTCCCTTTTTATTCAGTTTGAGCTTCAGAAAGATATCATGCTCTCAGTCTCACACCCCTTTAACTCATTTTTCTCCTATCGACCTCATTTTGCCTTTCTTTGTTTACAGCTATGCCATAAAGAAGAAGGACGAGATTGAACGAGTTGCCAAGGCCAACCGTTGAGAGGACCTTCGGTGGGTATTTATTATTTGAGGGGGGATGTATTTGATCGTAAGAAATTTGGTTTTTTGTGTCAGTCTTATTCATTTCCTTTTCAATAGTTAGGTTGTCTGAGTATACAAGAGGTTCGTTTCCAGTTTTGTTGGCTATTTTTCTCTTTTCCCCATTAGTGGTTTTGGTTTCGTAGACATTATTCAATGCCAATGATGAATTTTTGGCTTAATTAATTGTCAAAATTTCCAATACTGCAAATAAGACCGTTCATTCACGTTGTAACCCCAAATTCCCTTCTTTGGGTGGAGGCTCGAATTGCAGATGGATTAATGATCTCATGTGGTAAATTTTAACACAAGCTGGGTGAAGTTGCACGCTTTTTAATGGAGTATATATATATATATATTGTAATGGTCGTAGCAAGCGGTATATAACGGGATTTTGATTACATCTTCGTAATCCCTTGGTATTGTCATTCTATTGCAGTATCACGAGACTGGTATCCATTCCATGCTCTAAAGGCCACCATGACCATGGGAGTCGGTGAAATTACAGGCTCGGAACACGAGCATGACAAGGTAATGGGTGGCCTAATGTGTTATTTGTCCTGTATTTTCTTTGGGCCATGTCCCCCGTTAAATGCTTCATTTCAAAATTATTTACCCAAGTTAGGATCATATTTAAAATCTCAGTGCCAAACATACTAACAGAAGACCAACTGCGCAACAGAAAATGAAACTAACTCGTTGAAGAAAAATTTCATGTATTGCCATATGGAAGACGAACATTCCAGACGTCAACAAGTAAGTCCACGTGGGTAAATTAATGCAAACCATCTGGAATTTTGGGTTTATAAGTTACAGTTTTGCTTATCCTTCTAATACCCCCCTTAAAGTTGGAGCAGGGGTAGGTTGGATGCCCAACTTGCTTATTAGTATAGAAAATGGAAGAGGCCTCGGAGGTTTGGTGAGGAAGTCTGCCGGCTGATTTTACTGCAAATATGATGAGTAGCAATTGTGTTGTTTGCAATGTGCTGGCGAATGAAGTGACTGTCGATTTCGATGTGTTTAGTTTGTTCATGATATATAAGATTGTTGGCAATGTGGAGAGTTGCTTGACTGTCACAATAGAGATGCATAGGACCTTTAATGGTGATTTCAAGGTCATGGAGGAGATGCTTGAGCCACAATAACATTGAAGTAGCTATAGCCATTGCACGATACTCTACCTCTGCAAATGACCGAGACACCACACTCTGGGTGAGGCATGAGGCCTAGTCAGAATCGCAAAAAGCTTTGAGGGCGAGGTTAGAAGTAGATGGTAGAAATAGCCCATGAGATGTTGTGGCTTGCAAGTACCGTAGGACTTGTAAAGCTACATCTATGTGCACCTGTCGAGGTTTGTGAAGGAACTAGCTCAAAGTATTGGTTGCAAAGTTTAGTTCTGGTCTAGTGACTTGTAAGTAGACAAATTGGCCCACAAGTCTTCTATATTGTCCAGGATCTTGAAATAATGGGCTGGAGTCATTATGGAGTGGTGATAATTGCTCCATGGGTATTTTAGCAGGCCTATAGTTAAGCATGTTTGTTTCTTGTAGAATATCATGAATGTACTTCTACTGACACAGGAAAATTCCCGATTTAGATCTTTGAACGTCAATGCCCAAAAAATAAGAGAGAGGGCCCAAATCTTTGAGAATGAAGCATGAGTATAGATAATCCTTCAGCTCTTGAATGCATGACTCTTGAGTACCAGTAATTATAAGATCATCAACATACCCCAAAACTGCTGTGAAGGTATCTGATTTCTACAGTGTGAATAGTGAATAATCAGCTTTGGATTGTGAGAAGCCATATTCTTGTAAGGCAACAGGAATTTTTCAAACCACATCCTTGACGCTTGCTTGAGCCCATATAGGGACTTTTGTAGGCGATAAACTTTGTATGGTGCACTTATAGATTTCCTCATGAAGATCACCATTTAAGAAGGCATTGTTGACATCAAGTTAGTGAAGAGACCAACCTCGAACTACCGCAACTGCTAACAAGCAACACATGGTTACCAGTTTGGCGATAGGGGCAAAAGTGTCATGATATTCCAACCCCTCAATTTGAGTATATCCACGGGCCACTAGGCAGGCCTTGTAGCGATCAATAGTACCCTCAGGTTTTAGTTTGATTTTGTAAATCCATTTTGAACCAATGGCTATCTTTCCTGGTGGGAGATCAACAATGAACCAAGTGTTGTTTCGCTCAAGAGCTTCAATTTCTTCGGCCATGGCCTATTGCCACTTTGGATCTTGAGATGCTTCTGTATAATTATTGGGTTCAATCAACGATGATGTGAGGGCATGGGACTATTGTTGCAAAGATGGGAGTATGGAGCAGATGTAGTCCTTTAAATGGGATGGTGCTCGCCTAGAACGAGATGGCCAAGGTTGCTAATCTATGGTATGGTCGGGTGGAGCATCAAGATGGGAGTGTTGTGAAATGATAGTGGATTCAACATCCTCTTGGGGTAAAGGAATAATAGGTGGGGGAACGGGCTGAATCGGATTTGGGTGGCAGTCCTTAAAAGGAAATTGGGTTTCATAAAAAGTCACATCTCTAGATACGAATATGGTTTTGGACTCTATATCATACAGGCGGTTTCCTTTTTGGGTATATGGGTATCTCACAAATATGCACTTTCGAGCTCGTGTGGCAAATTTATCATGAGTTGGTGGAGCTACCCGAGCAAAGCATAAACACCCAAAGACCTTAAAGTGGAAATAAGGAGATCTGTTGAGCAAAACTTTAACTGGTGATTTTCCTTGAAGTTTGGGTGTCAGGGTGTAGTTTATGATGTAGGCTACTGTAAGTATACACTTGCCCCAAAAAGTGTCGGTGTTTGCGTTCTGCAACACCATTCTATTAGGGCGTGTCAACACAGGATCATTGATGTATGATCCTTGCTTGTGAATAAAATTGTTGCATGGGTCCAGACAAGAATTCAGACCCATTATCTGATCTGATGTACTCTATAATAGCATTATGTTGTGTCTTAACCATGTGACAAAATGAGACTAAGAAAATCAGAGTATATGCCTTATGTTTCATTAGGTAAACCCATGTGCTACGAGTACAACTATCCACTATAGTGAGAAAGTAATGTGCCCCACTATGGGAGGGCGTTTTATATCCACCCCAAATATCACAATGTAATAATTAAAAATGTACTATAGACTGAGTAGTACTAATTGGAAATGGAAGTTTAGTAAGTTTTGGCTTGTGGAAAATTTCACACCTCCGGTTTGCATCACTGGGAGAATGCTAGAAATGGTGGTGACCCGAAGAGATGATGCATGCTCTAAGCGTTGATGCCATAGCATGTATGTTGACGGTGGAGTAATGTTGGTGGTGGAGTTATGAGTTGAGTTGGATGGTGGGTGAAGGTAGTATATTCCATTCCACATCTTACCCTTCCCAATCTCCTTCCTCGATACTAGGTCCCGTAAAATACAGAAATCATGGTAGAAAGTAACTGCACAATTCAGTTGGGAGGTTAATTTGTTGTCTGAAAGTAGATTGCAGTGGAAATCAGGAACACGAAAAACGTGATCTACAGTGAGTTGAGGTGTGATCTTGTAGGAACCTTGATGTGCTATAGGTAATGTGGATCCATCAAGCAAACTAACAAACTTTGGTGAATTTATGGAGTAGCATATAGTGAGATTAACATTGGAGGGTGACATGTGGTCTGATGCTCCACTGTCAAGTATCTAGTGTATGGAATTTAAAGATGATGAGGTATGAGTGACAGTACCAACAAGATTAGTAGTGTTAGCCTGCAGCTTGCCTTGATCAATGAGCAACAACAGCTGATTGTACTGATCTAGTGTAAAGATAGGAGTAAGATTGTCTGTGGTTGTAGAAACATGTGCCGCAACAGGTAGCAAATTCTCTTTCTTGGATCTATTTGACCTATTACGATCCCAATTTGGGGGATAACCCACTAGTTCGAAGCATCAGTCTCTAGTGTGGCATTTCTTTTTGCAGTGATCACAATAGAGTTTGCTGCGAGACTGAGAATTAGGATCTTGCATGTGATGTCCAGATTTGGACTGGACGACCAGTATGATCAACGCATAAGCACGATCTCATCCCATACGCAACGCAAATCTGGACTGGATTGTTCAGATTTGAACAATACGATGTGAAGCTGCCGATTGATGTCGTTCTTCTTGGATGATCAACGCATAAGCACGATTGATTCCAGGAACTGGTTCAATAGCCAGTATGTTGGATCGAATAGAATTGAAGTTGTCATTCAATCCCATGAGAAACTGATACAATTTTTCCCGTTCTCTTTCTGCCACATAATCTTTGGTCGCGCCACAAATGCAGACAGGTTCAAGAATGAGGGCATACATCTCATCCCATAGTCCCTTCAGTTTTGCAAAATATGCAGCTACATTCATCAAACCCTGATTCAAGAGCTCGATGTCACGTTTCAACTGGTGGATTCTCGAAACGTTGCCCTGTGAATACCGATCTTCAAGGTCTTTCCAGATTTCTTGAGCTGTCTCAATGTATGCTATACTTCCATGGAGATCTCGGGTCACAGAATTGAATACCTAGCCGATCACCATGGAATTGCATTTCACCCAAGCTAGAAGATCACCGGAGGCCAAATCTGGATACGACAGACTTCCATCTACAAAGGAGAATTTGTTTTTCGCTTGGAGAGCATTCTTCATTGCACAGCTCCTAGTCGAATAGTTGTCGCCGGTGAGTGGCGCTGAAACAAGCACCGCCCCTGGATTGTCCGACAGATGAAGAAAGTAAGGAGATCTTGGATCGCTCAAGGCCATGGTGGTTGTGTTGGTATTCATCGTTAAAGAACACAGAAAAAAATCAAGAGAAGAAAACAAGGAAAACAGGCGGGATGGAACTACCACTCTGATACCATAACAGAAGACCAACTACGCAATAGAAAATGAAACTAACTCGTTGAAGAAAAACTTCATGTATTGGCATATGGAAGATAATGGAAATATATACAATGTCAGGGAACATTCTAGATGTCAAGAAGTAAGTCCATGTGGGTAAACTAATTTGAACAATCTGGAATTTTGGGACTATAAGTTATAGTTTTGCATATCCTTCTAATACATACTTGACTGTTGGAGTTAAAACCACTAGAATTATAAGAAGTTTACCCCAATTGGGCAAACTGTTGTAGGCTTATAGCAGATTTATTCTTTGTAGGTTGCAGTTGGACAAGGGAATGGTAGGTGGGTAGCTTCCGAATCCAACCCATGAATTGGAATTGTAACCGCATGCTTTTTTTTTTAATTATTTTTTGAAGCCATAGGGCAAAAACTTTATTTAACTTTCAACTTGGAAGTTACATCTCATCCAAAATAATAGATCTGATACAATCTGGAATAGACGACCAAGTAAACAATCGGTTTTGTCTTAGAGCAAATTGGGCAGGCCCATGGGCTGCTCTATTACAGGACCGAGGGGTGTGATACCAAGCACAGGATGAGAAGGATTTTGGGATGGTTTTACAATCCAAGGCAAACTAGCAGCGAACTCCAAGGGGGCTCCAGATCCGAAGAGAGAACTTGAAGAGCAACTTTAGCATCACTTTCTATGATAATTGGGTCCAAGATGAAAGATTTTGCTAGTTGAAGACCCTCTAGAATTGCTTTAAATTCAGATTCAATGGGAGAAAAACTCTTCACCAACAAGACTTTGGCAACCAGGAGTGATCTAAATTCATCTCGAGCAATGACACTAACTGCAGCTTTTGATGGAGACCATGCTCCATCAGTATTGATTTTAATGTGCAAATGAGGAGGTTTGATCCAAACTAATGAAGTTCTTTGAAGAGAAGAAGGAGAAGCAAATCCTAAGTTTCCAAACCGCATGTTTCATCTCTACCATTCTAGTCATCAGTTTACCAGCCATAAATCGTTACTCCATATACGGAACAAAGCAAGGACTTTGTTTATATGCATTGGGTTCTGGTCCCACTCCCACTATCTCGAGGCTCATGCAGGGATTGCAGAATTGCATACAAACTTGAACTGAACCAATATACAAACTAAGGCGGAGTTTTCATGAATAAATGCTTATGAACGTTTGGTGAAAAATCAGTTGTTTCAAATATGGGTATTATAGCTGTATAGGTGTTTTCAAAATGATGTGGCTGGCCAAGACAGGCTAGAAAGAAAATGAGCGTTTAAAAATAAATCCAAAATTTGGGCTTCTCAAATAAGTGTTTATACTCATGAATAAGCACATATTCATGCTTTTATATTTCAAACATAATAAGTGTTTCTTGGTGTGATGTCTGTCCAAATAAGCGCTTGTTTTTAAGCACTCCCAATCATAGCCTAAGAAATAAGAGGTTAGATTTTCTCTTACCTGGGGACCTTTGGCCAGAAAGTTAGTGCCTCCAGTCCAGTTGTGGTCAGCAGATCCAAACATTCATTGTAATTGTTGCCAATGTCATTGCTTGTTATTTGGCTATATAAGTGGCAGATTAGCAGTGAATTAGAATCTTTCTCTTCACACTGACCTCACAGTCACATCTACCTATGTATTGGGAAGGTTTCACTTGAATAATAACAGACAAGTACGGAACATGGTTTTCAAAATTAGACCAGACCAGACAGTTGGACTAGAAAAACCGGGAATCGGTCACCTTCCGTTTTTCCCAAAAACCGGATTTCCTCCCAAAACTGTTGATTTTGGTCAGCGAACCACTGAACCGGGCAGTTAACCATTCGAACCGTTCAAACAGTTTTGACTCCTTTTTTTTTAATTTTTTATTTTTCTGTTAGAACGGGCCAAGCATTCGGTTCAAATGGTCAGACCGTTCGACCCAGTAACCAGACCCCTGACCGGTTCGGTCACCGAATCAGCTTTAAAAACCATGGTACGAAATGTTTCTGATGTGCAACTGGTACTTGCTTGTGAGGTCAGTGCGAGAAGCTCTCTCTCTCTCTCTCTTATTTGAACCGTTTGGTGAATCTCAACCAACCAAACAATGAAGCAATGAATCATCTAACTCATTTTTAAAATGACAAAAATGTCCCTCATCTAACGGGCAATTGAAATAGGAAAGCAAAAGGCAAAGGGCAAGAGAGGTAGAAAGTAGAAAAGAAAGGTTGGTCCGTCTAACAGTATTGAACACTCTCGTCTCAAGTCCTCCAAATGGTTGGCTTTTGGGCGGTTCCTATCTCACTCTGCCCATCAACACCATACTTCCTCGAATTTTGACATAAACACATACATGACCTCACTAAATCTACCAGTCAATCCAAAGAAACCACATTGCTATTTCAGCTGCCATTTCTCCTGTTTCTTTCTCCCTAATCAAAACTCAACTCATAAGCTTTATCGCAACGTGGAAATGTTGATGTAGGAACAAATAAGCAGCGCAGATTATGGGCGTGGTCAGCAAAAGTGTGGGAGGATGGAAGATAATAGTCTCTCTGTTTTCCGGTGAGTCAGTCTTGAGCACTGAGCTTATGCTTTACATTTGAGTGAAATATATGTAATCCTTGTTTTTTAGTTTGGCTTCGGTCAGTGCAATCTTGTATTGGGAATATTTCCCTACACATAAGTACAAACATATTCCCAATGCAAGACTATAAAGGCTGTTTGGACGGGCATTGCACTAACCGAAACCGAATTCCTTATTTTTTTTCTTCCTCATGTTCACCTTGCGTCTATTTCAAAATCGGGTGCTCACACCATTCACACAGTCACTTGCATGCAGCTTTGCATTGGAAATATCTTCCCATGAAAAATTACATTCAAGTACGGAGATATTCTCAATTCTTGATGTAAAAGGATATGTAAACAGTATCAACATGGTCTTGTGAGCACTAAAGCCGATCTCATCTTTTTGTTGATCCCATTTCCAGCCCAAAACTCTTGTTCAACTTCAATAAATTTCCTCCTTTTGTGTTTATAATTTTTAAGACAGCAAGATATGTAGGCTTCAATACCTTGTTTACCTCTGTCTCTCTCTCTCACACACACAAGATATGTAGGCTTCAATCCCACGGACCGTGCTCCCACAGGCACTCCATAGCCCATCCCCATGCATTGAGAACATCTCCCCATGACAGGAGATGTTCCCAAATCACGGACGAGATGGGCTGTGGGGAGCCCATCCTGTATCCAATATAAATCCAACTTCTTTGAAGTTTGGTGGGTGTTAACCAAACTTGACCTCGTTATCTAGTGGGTGCGGCCCACCACAACTATCATGTGGCCCAATAACTCTTGTGGTTTATAGGCCATAGGATCTACTGCGAATGTGCAAAAACTAGTTGAGTGACCCACATGAGTGAACATGCCCGTGTTTAGAGCTTTTACTCGTCTCGCTATTAGTTATTCTGCCAACTTCTCATGCTTATCATTTCCACATTCAGCGTCTCTATTCAAGTATCAAAGCACCTTTGTATTGGATTTGGTCCAATCCGGTCCAGTCCAATATGGATTCATTACAAATGGATCAGGTTCAATCCAATCGAACAAATATTTTGGACCATTTTGGATCGATCTAATTCAATGTCTGGATCGTTCAATCTGTTCAAATTTGTTTTAATTTAGATTAATTTTAACCCAAACCTATTTTATTGACACCTATATCCTTATCTTCTATCAATGGAACAGATATTTGTCCAATCCAACCCAATCCAATATAAATTCATGATGGATGGACCAGTTTCAATCCAATGCAATAAATACTTTGGACCATTAAGTCTGGACTAGATCTGTTCATGGGCCGAGTAGCCTAACGGCCCAGCCCAGCCTGCACCCTGGTCAGGCTTAGACATGTAGTCAGGCCCACAAGCCTGACCTTGGGCCCAAAACACCAAGCCCGATTGTGTTTCAGGCCGGGCTCTGGATTTGTCAAAAAGCCTGGCCTAACTAATTTATATAATATAAAATATATAAAATTTATTATAATATATATATATAAATAATTTAATATATACATTTTTGTTTTTTTTTCTTTTTAATCTCTCTCTCTCTCTGTTCAGCCATTTCAACGATAGCAGCTGTAAGAAGTTGAGCTTTAGACTTTGGGCTCGGGCCCAAGTTATAGTTCCGATGGTCGGGCCGGGCTCGGGCTTGGGCCTTAAAAAAATCTGTTAATAGAGTGAAAGCACGGCCCAAGCCCGGCCCAGCCCATGAACAGGTCTAGTCTCGACTGGTCTTATTCAATATGTCCTGTTGGTTTATCCAATCTGTCCAAATTGATTTTAGTTTGAACAAGGTCTAATCCAATACCGGTCCATTAACACCCCTACCCATATGTAATTTGACCACGCAAGACTGCATTGTATTGGCATGTGTGCCACTAAGACCCTAAGTCCCACATGTTTCTTACATGCTGGTATAACCTTTTTTTTTTTCTGATGACCTGTTACCCATGCACTGTTCTCCACATCCTGTTCCCTACCCAGAAAGCACCACCACTCTGTGTTGGATCATCTCCCCATGAATGACAAGGGCGATGCTGTAATGTAATGCCCAAGGGTAGGGATGTGGGAACAGCTTGTGAGTACTCCCACTAAATTCAGATTTCATCACAATTTACAACCTTTTGTAGACCTGAATTGAAAATATTCATACTTGTATTATTCATAGGGAAATATTTCCAATGAACAATTACAAGGGATTATGAATAGGGAGTGGCCAACTTTCACTTTAAAATTGCCACGTGGATCCAATCTTTGGTCAATGTCATTAACAAGCTTTACCAGGATGGGCCGGATGCATTTTGTTTGGGGGTTTAATCAAACCGTGGGACTTTTTTTTTAACTGAACTGATACTACCGATTTTTGAAAAACTGTAAATCGAAACTGAAAGAAAACCAATCGATAAATCAATTGATCGGTTTGTTTTTTGACAGATTTGGTTCTTTGCTTGTTTCGCTTTTTTATCAATTTATAATCTATATTATAAATAAATATATAATTGTATAATATAAATACTAGTAATATATAATTGTATAATATATTATACATTATTTATATTTATATAATGCATATGTGTTTATGTTAAACCAAAATTGAACCGCTATCTTTGGTTTTTCCAAAACATAGAACCAACCGGATTTTTCTGTTTGGTTTCATCGATTTAGTTCCGTTTTTTATAAATACCCCTATATTTTGTAAATACAAAGTAGGTGGCATGAAATCCACGTGGCAAACCAAGTTAGCCATGAAATTAAATTTGCAGTGTGGTTATAGGAGGATCTAACAGTTAGACTGAACTTTTGACTAGTTGTCCAAATAAAACGTGTCTGCCGTTTGGTATAGAGTTTTACGCAACCAAGCCCTACAAATTAATGCTACTAAGCTCCGTTTGGAAAGAATGCAAATAGAAAACAAATACAGATTTTTCCTTATCTTACTCGGTACATAAAATTTCATTTAATCACTGAAACCATTAATTCAATTAAGGGTCCGTTTGGTTCATAGGAATAGGAGCCGGCCATTCCAATTTGAATTATTTGATTGGGTGGAATTGAATCTCATTTCCATTTCTGGTGAAATGACATTCCTCCATTTGAGAGAATAGTCATTCCCTCCCCCTCCCTTGGGTAATGAAATTCCACTACAGCTGATTTCATCAAATTCTCATTCCAATTCCTATCTGAACCAAACAGAGGGAATAGACCATTTCAATTCCGATTCTGACAAATTCCAATTCCAACTGTTAATCAAACGACCCTAAGATCTATTTCTGAGGACAAAGAATTCATCGAGCACAATTACACCAAATACGTTATCTGCAGATTTTTCATATTGAGTTCTTTATCAAATTCAAAGTTGCAGGATTCAGGATTTAAACAATTTTACAAATCATGAAAGAATATATTAATATAGGAATGACAATGGGGTAGGGATTATATTCCTCATCCCTGACCCTGATTCTGAAACGAATTGCCATCATTGTCTTTGATCTCCTTCAGGGATAAAAGTTGTCCTCCATCCCCGATTTTTAACAGGGACGGGTTCCCCGTAGGGATCCAAATCCCCAAAATGTTTTTAAGTAATATTATTTAAAAAAAATTACTTAAAATAAATAAAAATTTAAAAATATAAATAATATTTTAAATATGTTTTAATATATACAAATAATATAAAATTATAAATAATATCATATACATAATAATATATATAATCCGATCAGGGTAGGGTGGGGACCTCAATAACCAACCCCGATCGGGAATCCCTATTAATCCCCGTCCCCATCCCCATCCCACCAAAGCAATCACCCATCTCCGATCCCATTGGGCTGAGGAAGTAGGGTCCCCATTGGTAGGGGTGAGCACTATTCCATTAAAACCGAAAATTTCGGTTTTGGTTTTTTTGGTTTGTCTTTTTCGGTTTTTGATTTCAGTTTTAGAATTAAAATTTTGGTTAACCGAATTAGCCAAACTTTTTATTATTATATGTAATATATAATATACTGAAATTTGATTTCATAATATATATTTTATATTATATATTATAATATATATAATAAAGTATATATTATTAAAATTCGACTTTAATCGAAATAACCAAAAATTTTAGTTTCGGTTTTTTCGACTTTTCTAAATTTTAGTTTTGATTCTATTTTTATTTTTTTAATTTGATTTTTAATATTTCAGTTTATTTGATTCGGTTTTTAACTGAATAAACCGAATGCTCACCCTAAATTGCCATCGCTACATTAACAGAACATCTGAACATATTCTGGGTGAAAAATTTTCCATTCATATTACCAACTTATGAATGCCAAAATACTTACTGAACTTCTTAGACCAGATTTTCATGCCTTATAATTGTTGCTTTTATGACTTGAAAAAAAAAATCCGAGGCTTACTTCATCTTTTTTCTACGGCATCATGAAATTAAGACAGCCACACAACAAGTGAACTAATGCCCCACTAAGCGAAGTAAACCCCAAAATAATAGTAAGTGAAAATTTGCATTCTCTTGCATTTGTACCGGTGTAAATGAAATTTTACTGCGACCAAAGATATAGTTTTTTACATGGCTAAAACAATGTACATCTCCCTTTCCATAATATATGTGGGTACAGGGTATTCAGTGCCTTTTCCATTTTAATAATTCATTAAAAAATATGGCTTTAAAACCGTTATTGACTCAGGCACTCGAACCATTTGACCCTATGACTGGTCACTTATTCGGTTCTATTTTATACCTAATCCAGGATTTCTCAAAAAAAAGAAAAAACTAATGAAACGGTCAACAAATTGTTTGACCCGGCCGGATGGTTGAACCGTTAAGCTCTTCAACCTGGACAGCAGTTCAAGGTCAATAAATTAGGGGGATGAAAATGGAATCGTTGGGAAGGAGGGAAGGATTTGAGGGAGGAGGCAACCCCCCACCCACCTCCTCCTCCTCTTCTTCTCTCAGTTGTTATTGTCATCTTTTGAAAGCGAGAATAGACAGGATGTTTTGACCGGTTAACTTGAGTACTGCGGTTATGGTTTCAGGTCCGGTTTTGGATCCCAAAACCCGATCGACCGATGTTCGGACCAAACAGTCAGAGTGTTTGACTTGGGAACTGGTAGCCAAAGAGGTTCTATTTCCGGTATTGTTTAAAAAACCATGGTTCTCATTCTCTTGTCTCCTCCAATAATATACATATATAATCATCACATTTAACCCTAATATTCTAAGCTATGATATATATAAACTTGATGGGTGAAGTCATTGGACCTGGGCGCTTGAACCACTAACCAGACACCAGTGGCCAAAGAAATTCCGTTTTGGGGTCAGTTTTTATCTTGTTAACTAAAAATATTAATTGTGAACATCAAGTAAACTTTCATTAACATCAAGAACAATTCATGTCTCAGTTTGTTGCCTCGAGTTTATCATGTACACATATTTATACAAACAGTTGATTATTGAGGGCATGCATTATAGGGTTGAGCGGAGGATTTCGTGCATTTTCTTGTCCTTGGCAAAAGAAAATTATAGGGTAATAGAAATTTCCCTTTTATCACTTTATACTTTTAGGCTATGTTTGGTTTGAAGGAATAGGTAGGGAAATCATACAAGGTTTGTAAAGGTTTTCCTACCTTTACTTTCCCTACTTTTTCCTTTAAACCAAACACAGCCTTATAGTTTAGTGCAATTATGTAAGTCAAGGTTCAAAATATCGATAAGCCTAATACGTCGATAGAGGCATATCAGGTGAATCGATACATATTTTTTACTTTTTTTTTTATTTTTTTCAAAACTGGTTCAGGGGGGCCGGTTTAGAGCTCCTCCACCCCCTGAACCAGTCTGACCCCCGATACACCCACTGTAGGGGCGTATTGGAGGGGTCCCGGAATGATACGTATTGACCAATACGGGCCAATAGGTGCCGATACTTTGAACCTTGATGTAAGTAGTAGATGACAAAATGGCACATGGGATCACAACTAAGGGTGGATTCAAGCCGAATAATACAAGGCTCGAGCTCGATTCGAGCTAGAACCTTGAGCCCGAGCTTGGCTCGAGTCAAAAACTCGTAAGCTCGAGCTCGATTTGAGAAAAAAAAGTTTTATAAAAATAAAAAATTATATAAAAAAATATTTTTTATTTGATATTAAAAAATTAAGAATTATAATATTTTTATTATATATATTATTTTTTAAAATTATATATATATATATATTCGAGCTCAGCTCGCGAGCCTCACGAGCCAAGTTCTATTAGGCTTGAGCTTGGCTCGTTTATTAATTGAGCTTGTAAGTTGGGCTCGAGCTAGGCTCGTGGCCGCCCCTAATCACAACTCTTCATAATTAAGCTAGATCATAGATGTTGTATAATCCAAGAGGGTAAATACAACCTGCACCTCAAATAGTAAAAATCTAAAAATATCTTCATCATCAGAAAATGAATGTGAAGGAATTACACATTCAACTCTCAAATTAATGTTGTGTTTCCATCTTATGAATTAATCATTGCAACCAAAAGATTGAAATTGGATCTCACAATATGAAGTAATAAGGAATACTAATAATAGGAGTTTCTGAATGATGATGTTTCGGTGTTCTTCATCTTTTTGGTGACTGCTTTATATCACTCTAGCTGCAAGACTGCAACCATGATTGGAATCCCTGTAAATCAGTTTCAGCGGAACGAATACAGGTACTTGAGAGATCATACTACAAAATATGAACTAATATGGGAGAAGAAAGCAAAGAAGGGCTAGAAAAAATGGGTTCGTGCTGTGTAAGATGATGAATACTTCGTGGATTGAAACGTGTTCCATTAAAATGAGAATACGATTAAAGAGCAAACAAATAAATTGCAGTTTGTTTGCAGAGGGGAAGATACATATCCACAAGAAGCAATTGTTCAATCTTCACATTGATTAATTAACATTATTTCTGATACAGATAAGATACATAAAATAACAATCACCATACAGTTTGGTTTTGATCGATCTACCCGTTCCTAGTGCAAGCAAGCAATTCAGAAGTGCTTATGGACGTGATCTATAAACCGCTTATATTCGTCATGGCTAAAAGCAGCTGTAGAGGACGTGATTGCAGCTTCCCAGAGTGCACCATCTCCGAAAGTTTGTGCAGAATTTAGCAATGGATCAGGAGGTGCAATTAGATGATTAGGCTGTTGCTGCCGCTGATATTGTTGTTGTTGTTCTTGGTTTCCAAACACGTCCAAATTAATTAATGAATTCAGGAACGAAGAGAAGGCATCATCGGTGCAGTAATCGATATTGCCTTCTTCGTTGTTCCCAAGGTTGCTGCTGATCGTGAACCCTTCAGATTTCTGCCAGTTCCCGTTGCTATTTTCGAATGCCGCACTATGATCTTGATCCAGGTTTACGTTTATCTCTCTGAAACGTTTATTACCCTTGTAGATCGTAGTTGCACCATCGCCAACCCCAGTTTCTTGTAAACCTCTAGAATTAGGGTTGGGGTCAAGGTTCGGGATAGGATTTAATCCTGATGCAGGAGGCGGGGTGTGGAAATCTTCTAAGGAATTAGGGTTAGGGTTCAATGGTTTGTGAGTCCTGGGATCTATCCCTTGGCTGATCAACTTTTTGCTGAGATGCGTATTCCAGTAGTTTTTGATCTCGTTGTCTGTACGTCCTGGGATCCTTCCAGCAATCAGAGACCATCTGAGAAACCAGAAAAGTTATATACAACGTTAAGACTGCTCTTAGAAAGAATAGAGTGAATGAAAACGTGATTTTGGCGATGGAAGAATGAGTAAAAAACTACAAATACTAATAGCTGTCAGAGGAAAACGCCAGAGTTGAAAGAAAGAGCAGGAAAAGGGTGCAAGCTGGAAGTGAAAATCTGACCTACAGACACAGAACTACAAAAGGAGGAAGATGTACAGTGAAACCCTAAGAAAAAGCTGAGAAGCACGACAGAAGGAGAAAAGCAAAGAGAGAAGAAGATAGAGTAATATTGAGAAATCAACGAGGTTTAATATATGTATAAATTAGTTTTAGCACCTGTTACCAAGGAGGCGGTGAAGACGAAGAATAAGATCTTCCTCATCAGGTGCGATGTGTCCTCGCTTAACGCAGGGTCGGAGATAATTCACCCAGCGGAGTCGGCAACTCTTGCCACAACGAAGCAGCCCCGCACGCTTTGGCAGCGTCCGCCACCGTCCTACCCCCTCTCTTCTTATGTAGCTTGACAGAAGCTCATCCTCCTCCGGCGTCCATGGCCCTCTCTTCAGCCCTACCTTACTACAGCACGGCGTCTTACTTGTACTCGACACCGCCGATGCCGAACTTGGGTTCCTCATCTCTCTCTGTTTTTCTCTTTCTCTGTGTAGATTTAGTTGGCTTTGTTTCTTTTGAAATGATTTCCTGAATCACAATTTAATAACAGGAAGTTATCAAAAAAAATTTGTTATAGGAGAATTACTTAGTCCATCTTAAGTCTTAACCATCACAATTTGACCGATCAGATACTATTTGATTGAGATAATTACGTGGGATCCAGTGGATAACGAGATCTGTCTCTCGCTACGAATTGGGATCTGCTATTCAGAGCGGTCCTCACATCGACCTCACACCCACATCGCACCTTGTATTTGGATCATCTCTTTATAAATAAGAATGCATTTTAGGGAAATTGTCCAAAACCCACTGTCACCTTTTATGAATTCTCTTAAATTTATCAAAACACTGTTAAAATTCATTGACCCAAATTATCCACGTCAACCTAATACAAGTTTCATGACAAAATTACCCCTGAATGGTGGGTTTTAGGCCTTTTGAAAAATTATGGTAAGTTTTGCAATCAACCGAACAATCCTTATGAAATTACAAAAATAGAGACGAGGAAAGAATTGCAGAGAAACTACAACTGGGTTTTTTACATCTCTCGTGACCCTACTCTCTCTCTCTCTCTCTCTTTTAGGACGATGTCGAAGTGATGAAAAGTGGGTTTGGTTTTTCCAAACCGCTAATGGGGTTCTCCGGTTTATTACTTTCTTGTTACTGGTTTCTTTCTTCTTGGAAAATCAGATCTTGCAACGGAGCGACGGAACTAAATCAGTGATCTAAGGGTATCCCTTCCATCTGGGGTAAGCATTGTCCTCTCCGTTGTTCCTGAAAGCACAACAGCCAACAGAGTAGACAATAATGAGGAAGATGAGGAAGATAATGTTCACAACAGCCACCTTCTTCCAGTCCTTCTTGAGGTAGTCAAGTACTCCAGCCTTGCAAGAATTGCTGTTGAAACAGAGCGAACCTGTGGGATTGTTCCAGTTATTGCAATCAGAAAGCTCGCTGGTTGTATTGGTTTTCGTCCAGACTGTTGGGCTCACGTATAGGAAATTACATGCTGTTGGAGGCTTACAGCAGCCCGACTCAATTGAAGACAAATGCCGGGCGTAAAATTCTTCCACCGGTTCGGCAGCAGAGTTATTGAGACTCTTGCAGACATGGCTATCCATCAAGCAACTCTTGATCTTCCTCCAGTTGTTGTTGTTGTTAACCCTCTTCTGCAACCAGTTGGAATAATCCCCCAACTTATAATCCTTATACCCTTTACCTGACAACACCTCTCCAGCWCCCTTGTTAGTCACCACGAAAGCAAAGATCGTGAAGCAGAAGAGAAGAACTATGAGGAGGAACATCACAAGAAGGTAAAGCCAGAGAAGCCATGAGACTTTGCAGCATTCACCGATAAGTCCGGCGAGAGAGAGCACCATGAGAAACACTCCAAGAGCGATAACGGGCTTCTCGAGGAACTTCTCGCAGTCGCTGCTGGTTTGCCAGCCATATTCCTGCTCCCAAGATCGGAATCGAGAGCAGGAACGTCACAAAGTTTAGAATGCCTATTAGGTTGTTGCTCACTCGAACCATCTTCCTCTCACTACAAGAAGATCAACCAAAATCGATAACACTGAACCATCTTCTTCCAGTTGGCTGTCGGTGGAAGGTCGCTCTTGTGGAACACGACCGAGCAAAGTCCTTGTCGGTGGCAAGGCATTACTTGCGAGAACAACCTAGTCACCGTCTTGCATCTTCTTGGCAACGGACTCATCGGCCAAATCCCCGTAGGAATCTTCGGAAATCTGGTGCAGCTCCACACGCTGGTCATCCGGCTTAATGCTCTCACCGGTCCATTGCCGTCCGGTCTAGCCGCATGTACGGACCTCCACAATTTATATTTGCAAGGGAACTTTTTCTCCAGCGAGATTCCGTCGTCCTTGTTCGGACTCAAGAAACTTGCCCGCGTGAACCTTGCTTTGAATAACTTCTCCGCTGGGATCTCTCCGTCCTTCAATAATCCCACCGGCGACTCTGTATCTGCAGAACGATAAGTTAACTGGTCTAATACCGGAGCTGAGCCTAACGAATCTTGATCAGTTCAACGTCTTGTTCAATCAATTGAATGGCTCGATTCCAACGACTGTGCGAAAGTTTAGGGCCGATTCATTCCTTAGCACTTCGCTCTGCGGCTCGCCGCTTTCTCCTTCCTAACAAAGCGGTGCCGCCGACAAGCAGAGGTAGCAGCTCCAACAACAGTAAGAGTGATGTAAAGAAGAAGTTGTCTGGAGGAGCTATTGCAGGAATCGCAATCGGGTCGGTGGTGGCTTTTCTCTTGATTCTTCTGATTTTGTTCCTTCTCTACAGAAGTCAATTTCAAATCTTCACATTCTCAGACGATGGGAGAAGCAACGCAGTCAATGTTACTGTTGAGGTTTTGGGTTGAAGAATGATTTGAGTAATTTTGGGATATGGTAAAATGGGTCAACATAATAAAAGGTAAAATAGTAAATTAGCGATTTCTGTTAGTCGAGATATCATTATGTCACTGACAGGGTAAATTTTGGATATTTTGAAAAATTATGATAAATTTAATGGATTTTGGACAACTTCTCTACAATTTATAATAATATAAATATTAAAAATACTCCAGTGGGCGGTCAAAACATACCGTGAGATCGATGTGAGGAGCGCTTTCTAAGGAACAGATCCGAACTCCCCCGCTAAATCCGAAAATCAACGACGTTGCGGAATAAAATGACGAGTAAATAGTACTAAACCAGGTGGACGTGGGTTCCATATCTTCAATCATGATAAGTCGATAACGAGATGAATGATTACCAGAATACCAGTTTCGTTTGATCAGACCAAGCTAATTAATCTCATGGTCTTCCTTTGCGGACCATGTGAATAAAATGACGTGTAAATAGTACTAAACCAGGTGGACGTGGGCTCCATATCTTCAATCATGATAAGTCGATAACGAGATGAATGATTACCAGAATACCAGTTTCGTTTGATCAGACCAAGCTAATTAATCTCATGGTCTTCCTTTGCGGACCATGTGATTTGCAGACCGCGCTGACCAGAACCTTATTTAATTTGAATCCTCTTAATCAACCAATGCCGTCTTAATCTTATCCAAATATACTATTTCAGCCCTTCATTGGATCTACTGTTTGATTTTACAGACTGATCAAATGGGGGCCCAATGCGCTGTAGGTTCGTTGGACCTTGGACGGCCTCGTGGAACAATCTTATAGTCAAAATCCACTTGCCGTCAAAATTGCTGCTGTTTGTGTTTGCTTGTTTGTATCCGGTTTGGCTATGGATCGATGTCTCGATTCTTATCGATTAAGCAAAAGACAATTAGTTTGAAGGATATCAGCTATTTCTTCTAGCTCAATGCCCATGGTCGGATTCGAATAAGATGTATGAGGGACCTGTTCTGAATTTGTACCTCAACATATTAACTCCTTTATTCTCAAACATTTGTTGTGGGACATGTTCTGAATTGCTGTGAGGCTGGGACTAAAAAGTCCTAAACGAATGGTAATGGCAAATGTTAACTAACCGATTTTGGGTCAAGAAAATTACAGGTGGCATTGGAAATCGAGGCTAAAATAAGGATTTGGATTATCAATTTGCCACGTGTCCGACCTAGAATTAAGAAAGTCAGCAACATGTCTCAGCTATTTGCTTCCTGAATACATACTTCTGACGTTGGAGGTTTGCAGTGCAAATCTAAAATAAATACAAATTTTATCTTCTCAAAGTTTTTCCCATCTCACTTTGTCGTTTATATATTTTTCAATCATTATATTGTTTTTTACCAAAAAACATCATTATAATGTTAAATCGATTAAATTGCATTCCGGATTTCCATTGAACATATAGTATGTCTTTGGAATCGTGTACATTTATTCTGATTTGTAAAACCAAAAAAAGTAATAATAAATCCGTTTATTGATATTTAGGCATCATTGGACATCTCATCAAAAAAATAGTGGATAAACGCCTACCCATTGGCGGAAGAACTAAAATGAAGTTTCCCTCAACGATAGATGTGCACATAACTTAAAGTCTGCTTTTACAAATCTCTATAATGGGAAAAATGCTGAAACGACACATATGTGATAGCATTTATTTAATAAATGCCCATAATTCCAAATACACACATAATTTGATCAGAATCCACTCTAACGTTTAGAATTCAGTGTCCTTCTTGAGTTTTTAGAGAAATAAATGCTGAAATTATCTCAGAAACAAGGGGCAGTTCCCACTCTGCTTTCATCCAAATACCTCGTAGCACAAAACTCTACGCTTCAAAGTTCTAGCAAGTTAAGCAATATTATGATCAACATTAGGGACAATCGAGTAGGTTTTATTTTCATGGAGCCGCTAAGCATGAATAAAACCGGAGGGAGCAATGGCCATGGGAGATTGGGGAGGAAGGTAGATTAAGATGGTGTTTGATACTGAGTTGTTTTTTTAAGGTGTTTCTGCCACATCAGCATTATGTAGGCATTTTGTTATCTTTTTCATTTTTCTTGTTTGATTGAAAGCTATTAAACCAATTCAAACTACACTAAGTCTCTGTTTGGTTTAAAAGGAAAAAATATGAAAAAGAAGGAAAAAGTAAAGAAATCTATACAAAATTTGTAAAGATTTCCTTTCTTTTCCCTACTTTTTCCTTCAAACCAAACACTGCTTAAATGATTAAGATTCTATGAAAGTGATTTTTAATGAAAATATCATTTTGATGTTACTTACAATGGAAACATTTTTACCTTCTTGCTTATTTGGCATTTAATGATGCCTAACTAACATCAAATAATAATATAAAAATATATATACACAAAAAATGAAACTATTTTATCAAATTCCAATACGTGGCTGTTGTATAAAAAAATGGCAATCATATCAAAAAACATCTAAAAGAATTGCTGGCATAGCTGAGTAATCCAACATATGCGTGAGAATTACGAAAATAGAAAACAGAATGGGCTCTTTACTCAATCGATATTGAGAGGAATGACAACAGCAATATACTTGGTTGAGTTGGATCTCAGGTGTCAGTATCATGTTTGGATCTCAGGTGTCATTATATATATATATATATATATATAATGCAAATACAAGATTGAGAAATACAAAATAATATGAAATATAAGGTTTTATGTTCTATATATTTGTATTTGTATTTCTTCCAAACTGATGAGCCTTTTTTGAGAATAAGAGAAATATAAATGATTCTCTTGTGGGTTAAATCAGATAAATCAATTGAACAAAAAAAAATGCAACAGCATTATTATGCTCATCTTTCAAATAAATAAATAAATAAACAGCTTTATTATACTCATCTTTCAAAAAAAAAAAAAGCAGCATTATTATGCTCTGTTTGGATAAGCTTCTCTAATTTATGCGGGCTGTGGAAAACGAAAATGATCCAAAAATGTGTTTCTTAAGTTTGATAAGGTTTGCTTTAAAGAGCACCGTAATAGATCAAACAGTTTCAATTTTCAAAGCACAAATTTTAAAATTGTGATTTGGCTAACCAAACGCATCTAAATGATCAAAGCAAATAATGCCAAGAATTGGCAAATTATAAACTAATAGTCAGCAAGAAAACAACACAAATTGGAAAAACATATTCATACATTGAATAATATGCATGGTTTTATAAATTATATATATATATATATAGTAAACATCTCAAATTGATTTTGTTTGTCCTATACCTTTCATAGCACCTCCACCATGAAGTATGAATCCCGAGGACCAAGCCGTAAAAACCACTTCTATACCATCTTCAATTCAACCTTTTAAACCCATCTTATGGATATGATCAATTATAGTTTAGACGATATAAGGATTTATCTGCGCTAGAGTGGAATGTACCAAAGAGGCTTTGTTCGCTTTTCGGTAATTTACTTAGTCGGGTAAATGTAATTATCTGGTAAGTTTTTCTTGAGAAACACTTACCCAAGTAAGTATATTTATCCATTTTCTTTTATTTCCCAAGTAAAAAAAAGAAAATCACCATTTTAACCATAAAAAATCATTATTAAAAGGGGCACTTTTGTCCCATTCAAATATTGGAAACTTTCACCCCAAGTGGGAAAATTATTGATCCACCTAGGAAATGGGTATCACTTAGTCGGGTAAATAATACTCAGAAAAATAAACTTTCCTCGATCCCAACATTAATCTGAAAAAAAAGAACATGTAAATTTTAGTCAATGGGAACCAAAATCCCATTGACCAACTTCCTCCCTCTCAAAATTCGAAAAAAGAACGCCTCCAGAATAGAAAGAGATATTGAAGAATAAAGTGAGGTAACTGTGACAAATATACTAAGGGGGTTTTCTTTTTTTGGATTTTGAGAGGGGGGAAAGTTGGTCAATGGGATAGAATCCTATGTTCTTTTTTTAGATTTATGTGGGAACGAGGGAAAGTTTACTTTCTTGGCCAACACTTGAATGGAACAAAAAATGTCCCTTTTAATAATGTTTTTTATGTCTAAAATGGTCATTACTTTAATTCATCTCAAACAAAAAACCATTCCATCACATTCCAACATGATCTGTTTTCATACATTTCATACATGATGGCATCCCAGTTTTATGGTGAGATATGAGAAGACTTTCTTAGTGAGGATCAAAATAACCTTCTCATAAGAGAGGTGACAAATGAATAAATCTTCTAAGCCCTCTCTTCAATCAAAGATTTTAAAGCACCAGGTCCATGGGCTTAATGCACTTTTCTTTAAATAATTTTGGCATATTGTGGGATTTGAAATCTGTAGTCGTAAAGTCTTTTTTTTTTCATACAAGCAGGATATGCAGAATACTAAACAAACTTTTATCACCCTTATACCCAAGTGCAAAAACCTGGATTCAGTGAATGATTTATGCGGACCGAACTGGTCCATGGGCCAAATCGGGCAAAAGCTATTTATTTAAAAAAAATAGAAAAATAAAACTTAAAATTTTAATTTTATATGAATTTTGATTTATACAATTGCTTATATATATATACAATAATTAAATAAATTAATATAATAAAATTGAAAACAATTGTTTATTTTATTAATATATTATATACTATATTATTATATAATTATAATTTATATAATATTATATATATATATAAATAATATATATTGGTCGTGCTAGGCCATGCTGG